GGCCATAGTTAGCATTCTCACTTTAGGAAGGAGAAAATGAGGCCCAGAGAGGTGAGCCTGGAGGCCACAGGGGTGGTGTTAGATTAGGAGTGCGCACTGGAGGAGAGGATGCCAGGGTTGGCTGCCTAAGAGGCAGGTGGGAAGCACACAGCCTTTGACACCTTGAACTCTAGAACCCAGTGGAGGGTAGCCGGGGGCTGCTGCTATGGCTACTGACACTCATTTCCCAACTGCCTCCCTGTAAGGTGTCCCTGGGAGAATCATGCTGATTGAGAGGTGCTGTTGCCTTGGCTTCCTCACAAATACTTTCAGAGTCCAGTTCTTCCCAAACCACCCATCTCCCAAGATGTGTTTTTAACACCTCAAGTGATCCCACTGATAATTCAGCAGCTTTGGGAGAGATGTGGGCAGGGGGCACAGGGAGTGTGGATGTGGGTGGTGTGTGCTGGTCTGGGGCAGGTTTCCACCTGGCAGGAATGAGACCTGAACTGACCTTGACCACCTCCCTCAGGCCTCCCTAGTTGATAGATGTGGGGGTGAGCAAGCAGGCTGCCCAGTGGAGCTGGACCTTCATCAGAAACACTGAGTTTTCTCTTCTCAGCTCAGGCAGGTGGCTCATCTTCTCTGAGCCCCAGCTTCCTCCTCAGAGACTGGGGTGGGTCAAAGCCTCGAGTGCCTGGAGGGGCTCTGTAATGTCGGAGCCCCCTCTCTTCTGTTGGCAGCCTCCTCAGAGCCTGAGTGTGATGATTCCTAATGGTGGGGGTAGGGTGGGAAGTGTAAGGGGGTAATCATGCCTGGCCCCTTGCAATGGTCTCACTTCACTGATTTGCGCTGGGTGAGGTGGGGTGAGGATCTCTGTGAGTTCAGCAGTGTGAGCTAGGGCCAGTGGGCAAGAGGGCTTAGCAGGGTTGAGAGAATCTCCAGTGGGGAGATCCTCTAGCCCTGGAGACCTCCTCCTAGGTTGTCCCTTAGAGGCCATTGACCTCCCGAACCCTGGTGCCACCATCACAGGTGCTGTGAACAGGAGCCCAGGAAGAGCAACAGGAGTGTGCTAGCTGTGTGACTTTTAGCACATCCCTTCCCTTGTCTGGACCTCAATTTCCTCCTTTCGTCAAACAAGTGGGTTAGACCAGACAGCAGTGGTTTTCAGAACCCCCCCATGAATTCTTCCACAGACCCAAACATATAATATGGATAAAGTGGAACTGCTCTGGTTCCCCTTCCTCACACTGGTGGCTCCTGAAGCAGAGTCTAAAAATTCCCCAGATGATCTTTGAGGCCTCTTTCTCTGAGGTTCTAGGAAATCTGCATTAACCCTCAGAAATGTTGCCTAGTGTTAGGGTTGGGGGTAGGAATGTGAATTCTAGAGATTCCATTAAGAGAAATGTGGGCATTAAGAGGGGCCTCACCTGTGGAATGTCTGGAGCTGTTGGCCTGTGCCTCTGGCCAAAAGTTGTAGCCATGTCCCTCCCCTTTGCCACATGGTTTTATCATTTCAGGGCCAGAAAAGTACCTGTGCCTGTGGGTCCTAATTTGTGACTATAATTCCACCTCAGAGTTTCTCCCCTTTAGTTTCATGTTTTCAAGCTGGTAAAATGCAAATTCATGTTGGGGAGAGATTTAAGGAAAGGGCTTTAGGCTGTTCTCAGTTGTTTTTACCAGATGAGGTATCATCATTAATGGAATGCCTGCTGTGTACCAGCTACTACAAGGAGACAGAGGTGAGAATGTTATAACCCCTCCCCTCATGGGGCTCCAAAACAATAGGCAGGAGGAAGGAACTCACATTTGTTGGGACCAACCAAGCACTATTTAAAACACTTTACATATGTTATCTTATTTGTCTCATCAGGTAGATATTAGACTAATTTTTTTATTATGTAAAACTGCATACAAAATAAGTACATATCCCATATATCCATGTAGCCACCATCCAGATTAAGAAACAACATTGCCAGCACCCAGAAACCCCCTTGTGTTTCCTTCCAGACACAGTTCCTCCCCAGGGGTAACGACTATTCTGACTTCTAGGACCATAGACTAGTTTTGCCTCCATGGAATCACATGCTATGAAGTCTTTTGTCTCTGGCTTCTTTCGTTCAACATTATGTTTGTGAGTTTCACCCATGTAGTTGCAGTCATTTACTCTGCAGTCATTTATCCTCACTGCTGCATAATAATTCCACGGTATGGGTATACCTCTATTTATGCATTCTTCTATTGATGGCCATTGTTTTTTTCCAAATTTTAGTTATTATTAAGAGTGCTACTGTGAGCATTTCAACATGGATCATTTAGAAAACATCTGCATGCATTTCTCCTTGATATGTCCATACAAACTGCCCAACAGCTTCCCAAAGTGTCCCAGCGTTTAAGACTACTAGTTGCTCCACATTCTTACCAACACTAGGCATCATCTAGACTCATTTCCCATGTAAGTAATTTGAAGCTCAGCAAAGCTGTGCTCAGTGTGTGCTAGTAAGTGAGAGCTGGGATTTGAACCCAGACCCGTGTGACCATGGAATTTGTGCTCTAACCCTCTGGGTTAGACATAGACATAGACATAGATTATGATGAGCCAGAATGTGATAAGCTCTCACCCTAAAAATGTATGAAGAGCTCTCTCTGGGAATTTAAAGAGGGGAAGAATTTTCATCTGTTTTGGCAAGAAAAGGGTCATGGAGCCTCACAGATATGGTAGCATTTGATCCACGAGAAGGGTTCTCCAAGTGGGCTTTCCCTGGAAAGGGCCCAGATTGAGCTGAGGCATGGCAGGGGTGAAAGTTTTGGGAGAATGGGAAAGGTCTACTTTGGCTGTAATATATAGGATATGTGGGGCCAGGGGCTAAGGTCGGGAAGCTGAGCTGGGGCCAAACTGGTGGGCCTAGTTTGCCCTTGGGACTCTCCTGCCCTCATCCCAGCCACTCAGGATGTGGATGGGACTTGTCCTTTTGCTGGGGAGCTGGGGTTGCTTCAAATCCAGCTCAGTTCCTGATAGTAAATGTCCCTGGCCTCACGCCAATGGCAGGCCTTAGGTGTTTCTGGGACCACTCAGGGTATCTGCCAACAGAAGTTTTGGGAGTTTTCTGCTTCCATCTAGCTATATGAAATTTGTAACCTCCCTACCCCCCACCCCGGCAAGGACCTGACCCAAATAGTTTATTTGGAAGGATGCTTTTAGCATAAAGAAAATGGTGGGTAGCAAGTCCTGCCACCCTCTGGCCTCGTCTCAGGAGATTTGCCAGGATGAGTTGAGCTTCTGATTCTGATCAAGCCAAATTTGCTAGGAGGATCCCCAAACCTTTCCTCAGCAAGGAACGGAATTAGTTGTCTTAATGGCTGTGGGAAGCAGAAACACAAACAGTAGCCTGGGATGAGCCAAACAGTAACAGTAACAATCATCTCCCCCTTTTTTTTGCCCAGCAGTTTATGCCCTTATCACAGTGGACCCTTACACAGATGTGTGGAGTAGGTGATATCAATGTTATCGCCCTTGTTTACAGATGAGGGGACTGAGGCTCAGAGAGAGGCCAACTTGTTGGGAGTCACATGGCTAATATGCAGCCTAGAACTGGGGCTCCTGGAGCCTGCCCTTTTCAGTACCCCATCCTCGCTGGGCCCTGGCCCAGCACAGAGTGAAGACGAAGCAGGGAGGAGGCTGTGTGATGGCCCATGGGTGCCGCCAGGGAGGAGGTGGCAGATTACCCTGAGAGTAAGGCCTGGATGCCAGGCCAGCTTGGTCTGGAGGTCTTCAGGGATGTGTGTGCCTCCAAGGAAGGGAGGGAGGCAGGTGGTGTCTTGGTAAGACAGCTCTAGTTTGCAGGGGACAGAAATAGAGGAAAGAGGGTGAAATGTACACATCGCCAGAGAGAACAGCTCCAGCCACTTGGCACTGATGAGACATGCGCTTATGTAATGGTGCCTCCACCCAGCCTGGTGAAAACAGTCTTTTGGGGTTCATGGGGCCCGGGTGTGGTTGGTATCTGATTGGCAGGCAGAAGAAAAGCTGCCAACACTTAGCCTAAATGAGCTCTGAGAGGCCCATGATAATGACTCTTGAAAGACACATCCACAGGCAGCTGGTGTTATCTTTGTGACTTGCAGACTGTGTTCTGGGCCCTGCCCTTGAGGTACTGTTGAGGGTGGCATGTGTCTGTCACAGGAATGGGTGAGCTTCTTGGGGCAGGGGTTTCCCAGGGCAAGATGCAAACTGTCTCTTTGGTGGAGTAGTGAACACTCCAATGGCCCATAGTTGTCCTGTGCTCCCAGTGCAGTGCCCTGGGCAGGCAGAGCTAGCTCCATTTTACAGATGAGGAAACTGAATCTCCTCTGATGAGATGAGGTCATAAAGTTAGCTGTGGGCAAAACTGGAACTAGAACCCCAGGTTCCCAACTCCTGGTGCTTGCTGTAATTTGTCACACCACTCCCACCCATGTTTGTGAGAGTTTACAAATCAGTTCAGACTCGCCCTAAGGTGGTGAAGCCCTGAGGGAGATGAGGTCATAAAAATCCCTTACCTTTCGACTGCATTTTATAATTTACAAAGTAATTTCATGATTTGCTGTTGATTTTTACGGTATCAGCCCCTTTTACAGATGGGGAAGCCAAGTCTTCTGCAGTTTAAATGACTTATCCAAGCAAAACTGGGACTTGAACCCGGGTCTTCTAACTCAAAAATGAATGCTTTCTCCTGCCTCACGGCTGCCTCTTTCCTCAGTAGACCTGCCTTTCCTGAGAGCAAATTGCTGACATTGGCACGACTCTGTTTCTCTGAATTTGTTTAGAGCAGATCTGAATAAGTGAGCAGGCTCTTTTTCTGTCTCCTAACAAAGTGAGTGACTCTAAATCAAATCAGAAGCATGGTGTCGGTCACAGGTGAGGAAAGGCTTGATGAATGAGGGCTGTAGATTACCATTAAATTATTAGCGCGCTTGCAGCTGATTACTTTTGGGCTCAGACTCTTAGGCTTGTGCCAATTACACATCTGTCCTAATCTCAGTTTCAGGGCTGTATGCTCCAGGCCTCAATGAGGAGCCCAAACATGGAGACCTTCAAGCAGCAGAAGGTGGAGGACTTTTACGACATCGGAGAGGAGCTGGGGAGGTAAGAGGCCTCAAGAGGTGGAGGGGATGCCAGGTGGAGCCAAGGATACACTTCTCTTGGTGCATTTGTTAGTTGATCTTGTCCCAGGACTCGTGAGAAGCTTTAAAAACAATCCTGAGGTTTATTTATTTATTTATATTGAATTTATTGGGGTGACGTTGGTTAATAACATCATTTAGGTTTCAGGCGTACAATTCTGTAATACATCATCTGTATATTGTATTGTGTGTTCACCACCCCAAGGCAAGTCTCCTTCTATCACCATTTATCCCCCCTATGCCCTCTTCTACTTCCCCCACTCCCCTTTTCCTCTGGTAATCACCACACTGTTGTCTGTGTCTATGAGTTTTATGGTGTTTTTTGTTTTTTGTTTTGCTTAATCCCTTCACCTTTTTTACCCAGTCCTCAACCCCCTCCCTTCTGACAGCTGTCAGTAATCCTGAGGTTTATTCATCTTTGTGGGCAGCTCTGCAAATAGTCCTCTCTCTGAAAAAGACACTGGCAGAAGGGGCTCGAATTGTCGAGTTCTGTGTTTTCAGTATATTCTGGCTAAGAGTTATGGTGAACCTAAATGATTCTTGGTTTATCTGTTACTATTCTCCCAAAGCCCTCCCCAGGCTTTGGAGTGAGATCTGACTCGTTGGGTTTCTTCTCTGAGTCCCACTTGGCATTCTCCATGGCTCCCAGGATTTTGTTTCATAAGCTCAGAGCCTGAACGGGAGGTGAAGTAATCCTTCTGAAAGTGGATTTGCATTGAGTAACAAGCCACGCGAACATAGCCACGAGGGGGTCCTAGGACTTGAGTTACTAGGTGCATTTTCAGGTTTGCTAAACATAGAACACAACCAGGGCTAATTTCTGAGATCTGAAAGTAGTTACTAGTTGGAAAGAAATGAAGATTTTTCCAAAGCTGTCTTCTTGCCTTCCATTTCTAACAGCTACTACTGTTTAGATAGTGTTTTAGTGATTATAGAACACTAAGTCCTGAAGTTTCATTCTCACAACGGTGCATGAAATGGGAATTGCTTTTACTCTTCATTTTTCAGATGAGGAAACTGTGGTTCCAAGCGTTTAAGCAAGTTGCCCAAAAGTGCTCAGCCAGCAAATGACATAACCAAGGTCTGACCAGTCCAGTCTGTACTGCACACCTGTTGTGCAGTCTCCTGTGAGCACAGCACTTGCACACTAACATGTGCTCACCAGTACACCCAGCCTCAACCCTTCTCACGCCCAGCAAAGTAAAAACCTGGGGGTTTAAGGCCTCCACTGTATCTAAGAGGCAAAACAGGAGGCCCTTCCTCTTTATAGAGCTCTTGGGTCAGGACTAATTCTTTACTTTCTTTAATTTTGAAAAACAAAACTGGAAGAGCTTCCAAGCCAGAACCAGACTCTGAGAAGAATGGGAGGTGCAGGTGCTTCGAGTTCAGGCAGTGCTTGTCCTGGGTGACTGGATGGCTGGGTGCGTGGGGAGCAAGTGATGCAGGGACCCCAGAGGGGGATGACCCCTCTGCCTTATTTCAGAGACCTGCTGACGTAGGCAGTCCAGGGCCCGGGGAAAGTGTGGGAGGAGGGCAGAGGGCCGGAAGCTGGGGGTGGTCAGTGGAATCTGCCTATGAAAGGAAGGCCAGGTTCTCTTTCCCTCAGGTGCTTCTCCTGACCTTGGTGACACCAAGAGTGAAGTGACATCCTCAGCAGCAGACCAGTGGCATTTGATTTGGTGGCCTCACCTTGGCCACATCCTGGGTGGGGGGGGTCTGTGCTAAGTGCTGTGGGTACAAAGATGAGGACACAGAGTCTCTGCCTTCTTGGCGCTCCCGCTGGCGGTGGGGGCAGCCACGCACAGGACAAGGGTGGAGTTGGACGGGACTGGTGCCAGGGCTGAGGGCTGAGCAGTTGCGGTGGAGACCCCAGAGAAGGAAGGAGAAGCAGTTTCCTGGGGAAGTCATCTATTATTCCTTCCCAGTCCTGTCTGTTCCCCACGGCACTGTATCGGAGCCGTTAGAGCTAGAAGCGATCTCACAGTTTCCAATCCTCCCCTGTAAAAGGGCCTGAAGGCCCCATGTATCTCACAGCCTGGGGAGCCTTACAGGACCCCGCCTAGTTTTCTGAAGTGCTAACCAGACTTGGAGTGGGTAAGAGGTGGGAGAGGCCTTTGGGATGGCTTGACATGCTAGGATTTGTGGTCTAGAGGTCAGATGAAATGGAAAGCCACTAGAGGTCCTTTCTAACAGGCCCTTCATCTGACAGTTGAGGAAACTGAGGCTCAGAGAGGGGAAGGTCTTGCCTGTGGCCATAAACAGGCTGAAAATAGAGCTGCCTCCAGATGACTGACTGCTCAGCTTCTGAAGGGTCAGCCCTACCTTTCTCTCTTCCCCTTCTTTTCTTCACTTAGCATACCATTAAGGACCTACTGTGTACCAGGCACTGCCCAAGGTAGTGGTAAGCAAACAGGACTATTCCTGTCCTCTTGCAGCTTGTGCTCGATTGGTAGAGAAAGGCACTAAACAAGCGAGCAAGGGAACAGAGGAGGAGAAATCATTTTAGCATGTGTTCAGGGCTGTGAATAGAGAGAGCAGGGTGCTCTGAGAGAATAGGGGATGAGGTTAGACTGGGTGGTCAGGGAAGGCTGCTCTGAGGAAGAGACTGGTAATTTGATAACTGAGGGGTTGATATGCAGGTAGAGGCAACGGCATGGACATAGGCCCAGAGATGGGAAAGGGCCTGGGCCTGAACTGCTGGCAGGAGGCTGGTGTGGCCTCAGAACGTGAGCTGTGAGCAAGGGGTGCTAGGTGAGGTTGGAGACAGAGGTGGGGGCCAGATGCGGTCGGCAAGCTCCCTGTCAACATGGAATGGTGGAGAGGCTTGGCCTTAGGGGTCACACAGATTGGGGTTGGGGTCTCCATCCTAGCTGTGCAACCTTAGGACAACTTACTCAACAGCCCTGGGCCTCAGTTTTCCTACCTGTATAATGGGAATAATAATAGTACCTACCTTACAGTTATGGGGATTAAACGAGATGCTGAGTCTATGGTGTTCCTCACAGAGCCAGGCACAGGGTAAGTGTTCAGTGAACAAGAGCTTCTGACCTTTGAAGTAAATTTGGGGCATCAAGGTCCTGTCTCCCACCTATGGAGCCCCTAGGAGAAAGGTATGGGACTGCAGGAAGAACAGCGGGTGGAAGGGGGCCATCATTCTTATTTTGGAGAGAGCTGTACGTGCACCTGCTTCCTAGGCTATCTGAGTACCCTGGCCTACACTCAGGGCTGTCTTGTTGATTTTAGCTCCTCATTAAATCCTTACTTTGCAAAAAATGAAAATGAATGACAGTCATTTTTCCTCTTTACTTGTACTGATGGATGAAGCTCACAAACGTAATGCTGAGGAAAGTGAACCAGACTTAAAGAGTCCACACTGTATAAATCCATTTGTGTGAAGTTTGAAACAGGCCAAATGAATCAGATACGTTAGAAGTCAGAATGGTGGTTATTTGGGGCACTAGTGACTAGAAGGGGGCACAAGGGGGATTTCTGGGGTGTAGCTATTGTTCTATTTCTTGATCTTGGTGCCTGTTTCACTGTTGTGTTCATGTCATGAAAATATGTCAGGCTGTTCATGTACATGCACATTTCCCTGTCGGTATGTTATATCTTAGCTAAAACCGTGTATTAACAAGCAAAGAATCTTTAACTCCACTTCCTGCCCTGGTCTGGTCCCTGAAGCACATGCTTTTCATTCCTTTGGAGGCCTTGTCTGTCCTTGTCCTACAAGTGAGAACATCTGTGAGAAAAGCTGCAGAATGCAGCTTTGGATGGGGACAGTGTGCCCTGGCTGGAAAGTCCTGAGCTCGGCTGGGACCGCGCCTGGCCCTGCACATCTCACCTGATTTCTGGCTCCCTGTGTTGAGTGCAGTCACTTGGCTGTGCTCATCCCCAGCAGCCTGCTGGGGATGCTGGAGCAGTTGGAGAAATGCTGGCCTGCAGATTCTGGCTTCTCTCAACCTTGGTAGCCACCCTGGGGCAGAGCAGGGGCATATTAGAGTAGGGCTCATAAAAAAAAACCCATTCAACCCCTTGTTTTATAGGCAAGGCTAGGACCTTGACTTGTCCAAGGTCACAGCGTGAATCAATGATAGACCAGGGTGGGGATTGGAGGTCTGACTCCTAGTCTAGGGCTCTAGTCACACCATAAGGACCCACAGAGCACAAACTCATTTTTCCCTTTATTTTGAATGCTTCTGGTGAGTGGGAGAGAGTATATGGTAGGGTGGTCTTTTCTGTTTGACCTTGAGGGTAGAGTAGCAGGGTCAGAGTCAGGATGTAAGCACTGGGGAAGGAGGGATATTCCCCAGAGGAAGGGCACTGGTAGTTATGTCCAGTGTTGAACACTGTATGCCCAAGGACACAAGGTCATTTAATATAAGCAGTGTGTAATAATCTGTGGTTTCTTCTTCCTATACTTATATTGCTTTCCTTTACTTAGATTATCAGATTATTATATTAACATAAAATAATTAAGTGCTACTATTGAACTGGATCTCAACAAGGATTTATATCCCTTTTAAAGACAAGGAAAGTGAAGCCCAGAGAGGGAAGGTGATTTATCCAAGGTCACAGAGCAAGCAATATGGGAATTTAAAGAAGCTTTTCAACTACATTGTGCTGGTTTAAACAAACAGAAAAATTATCCATATGTACATTCAACTTTTGCTCACAGTCCCCACCTCTCAGGGCGCCTACCTCCCCATTACCTCTGCATCCTATCATCCTCTCCTCCCTCCCTGTTGAAGACAGCAGCCATAAGCCCTGCTACTTCCAGGAGGCTCACACGTGCAAAGCACCCTGCTAGGTGCTTAAAGCTGCAGAATCTACTTGTGTAGGGATGGGAGCCTTGGGCCACGGAGGGACCCACTACTCTCAAGCCTCATTTTCCTGGGAGCTAAGGAATTCCCAGGGATGGCCATATTGACAGGGCTGCCTGCCAGACCCAAGTCTCTGGATGGG